TTGCAGAATCAACATTCTCTTTATCCCCTGAGTTCGTGCACAGAATTCCACCTCCAGATGAAGAAATGTCCAGACATGCTCTTTTCCTGAAGGCCTCACTAAGAGGATTTAACAGGAAGAAAAAGCTTAATCATTAAAAAAACTCTCATCACTTCTTTAACATGCACTTTAAAGTACTACTTTAAGTGATATGGCAAAAAAAAAATGAATCCACCAAGGGTTACACTGAACATTAGTTTAGACATAATAATTCCAATACCAGTTGTTGTTTGTTGTCATTATCTTTTAAAAGTATCTTGTGTAAATATTAATTTCATCACTATCACTAGATAGTGAACTAAACACACTTTTCTCAAATTTAACTTCTGTTTGAAATAACAAAAACAACTTAGAAATTCATTAGCAAGCAAATCTTATTAGTTGATTTGTTAAAGTACATAAAATGATTAGTCTTTAATCATTGTAGGCTTTATAGTGAGCTTAATGAGCTCATTAGTTTGTTCAGTTACACTCAATTAGGACACATTAAAATCACAGCAAAGCTTTGAATACCTCAAACAGTAATAATTATATTTTCACTATTAAAGTAGATGATTCTGCTCATATTCTACATATTTGTATTCTAATAGGTGATCCGTTATGTGCCAATTGTTATATGTGTCCCTGTGAAATTCACAAGTACCGCAATAGTGTTGCAGGATATCTACTATCTACTATACTATGCAGATATCCTGCATAGTACAGTATGTCCTGCTCTTCACATGAGAGCTCATTGCTGTTCTCTGTGCTTCACCTTCAAAGACTGCAGAAGCAGCTCTCACTCCTGTGTTGCTTGAATCCAAATCCATAAACAACATGTTTTCATTCTGAAGAAGGTGTTAACAATGAGCCTTTAGCTCCTCTATTGCAGGCACTTGAAAAGATGCAGTTAAGACCAGGTCATACATTACTTTTAAAATCCATATTTTACTAAAGCAGTTTCTAGTCATAACGGCTTTTCACACAATAGGAAAACCTCCAGTGGCAATGGCACTCATTTCAGTTCCCTTTAATTACTTTAATTAAGATGTAAACACTTAAAGTCAGTCTGGACTCACCATCTTCCAAATATTATTCAAATATCACCTAACAAAGGAGAAGCACTTTGACTTCAGCTTTCTTGTTTTACTGTAAATCCATTGCTTTTATATGGGAAGGGGAATATTATTGAACTGTTTAAAAAAATAACAGAAATGTAACATGGCATTTCCTTTGCAAATACAAGCAGTCCACATTGTTTGCAAGATCAGTCATTGTATGTTAACATTTTGTGTGTTCTTTCAGACAAATTCCGGACATGAAAAACTCAATACTGCAGGTGCACGTGTTATTCAGAAGCCACTCGCAAACAAAGAGCAAACCCGAAGAGCTGAGTTAACAGCCTGAACGACAGCCTTGCGGAAGGGAAAAGGGGAAGATTGTGCAACAGCACAAGTGAGTTATAAGCCAAATCCAAAACAGTCAGTGAACTTTCCTACCTGTTATGAAAACAGCTTTTCCCTCAGTGGGCAGAGTCTGTGCGGCTGAGCCCTTCCTGGTGATGAGCCCACAGCCCGCACACAGGACAGCCAGCCCCAGCACGGCGGGCAAGCACAGGGTGCACAGCCTCTCCAGCAGGACTAGTAGTCCAAGCCACACCACAAGGGTTGGGACTGCACTGATGTGCGAAGCCAGTATCTTCTTCATTGCTCCTCCAACAAACACAGACATCACCCCCATGTAAATCCAGAAGGACAGGGCATACTCTTCCATGGCTCTGGGAGTGAAGGGGAATGAGAAAAGCTTCAACAACCATGTGCCTCCTGCAACGCTGCTCTCACACACGGAGGGAGCACAGGCAGATGAATGGGTTGTACACACTGTTTATATACAGAGCAGACTGCTCCAAAGGGGAGGGACTACAGAGGGATCTAATCTGTGGCCAATGACTAAAGTTTAACTGTAGTTTAATGTTCCTTTTCTTGTTATCCTTTGCCTTCTTGATTTATTTTCCTTTAGTTTTCTAGAGCACATTCACTGTTAGAAACTGCATAACACAAAACCCCTTTTGTCAAAGGTGAGCAATTAATTGGAAGTGGTAGATTGTCAGTTCAATACAGAAAATACTCGGGAAGGAAAAGAAAAAGCACAAGTACTTTAGAAAAGCATAAAAAGAAAAAACAGGGACTGTGGAATAAAAAACAAATACAGTTAGTGTCCCTGAGACACATACAGTAAGAGGAAAATGTCTTTAATGTTAATTAAATAAAACATCAATTTTGCAGTTTGACTTGGGGGATAGGAGAAAGGATTATTTCAGCAAGTAATATCAACCGTTATTATGAGTGAGAAAAACTACAGCAAGGACAAAAGTTCTCATCTGGGAAGGTTTATCACACTAAATTTGGTGGTTTTGCTGTATAGTTCTTTCACATGGTTTTCCTCTCGTGTGCTCCGTGTTCACTATGGCTAGCATGCTTCTGTCATGATTCATCACCCTGCATGACAACCAGTGCCAGCGAGTGCCTCCTGAGACTGGAGTGGCTCACAGCAACACTTGATGGATGTGTAATTTGATGGGCTACAACATCGTCCTCACTGCATCACATTGTGATTTGATGATTTGTTTCCTGTCAACACTGTTAATCTTCTCCAGATGTGCACTTTAAGAAACACACAGAAAGCGAGTGTAACAGTTCCATTCTGCGCTCAGGTCTCTTGAGGATAACTGGTGATAAGGCTGAATTATGTGCTCTGCGTATGTTTGTTTTCCACGTGCACAAACACAGCTAAGATACTGAGGTTTTCTTGATGGTGTTACCCTGGCTGTGACATTCAGTCACCCTTCTGCTCACAAGTCAGCTGTTGTGCAGTGTTGCACTGGTGACAGAGGGCCACCTCTATCCTGCTGTGTTTAGCAGCATTTTCAGGTCTTCATAAAAGTTTTTTTTAACTCGCATTTCCTTTATTGCACTTATTTTAAAAAGTAAAATCATTTTTTTTTTTCAGAACAGAAAACAAAGCAAACTGGTTGGACAGCTTGGAATTTATCATGCTTTACTATCCTTTTTTAACTAATATTAATGGTGTAAAGTTAGCACAAAATATTCTCTGACTATTTTCTTAAACCAAGTTTATTCAGTTTGTTCACTTTCTAATATAATTTTAGAAAATTAATCAAAACTGAAAGTTTTTTAACTTAAAACTTAAAGTTTTTAACATAAAAATAATTGTGTGGATTGATTTGGAAATACACGTTTTTTTTTAAAACAACAGTTTTTGGTTAAATCAAATTCTGACCCACTTACAGATAAATGACCAACTGCCTCTCTTTCCACTGTGAAGGACAGCTGGCAGGTAGGAAGTCAACACCAACTGACATGGATCAAATCTGTGATTCCCCTAAGATAGATTTTCAACATAACAGAAGAATCATCTGATATTATTTTAGGGGCTCTGCAATCTTTTTGTATTACTTCAGGTAAGCAGAACTTTAGTTCTGCAGTTTTCTATTTATCAGGTTTTTTTTTAGATTGAGAGGTATATAGAATGAACTTCAATCTGCCACCGATTTGTGCCTTGGGGTGCCCCTTGCCCTTAGTTACCTGAGCTACATTGAGAGCGCCTGAGTGTCTGCTATCTTTGGCAAGGATGGGGAGTCAGTCTAGCAGACCCAGCAGATGGTGAGGCCCAGTTCTTCTTCAATAAAAGGCCTCCTACTGGCTATTGAAGGTGATACAGGCTGCAATGCCTAGAATGAGAGGACCTAGAGTGATTTGTGAACCATGTATGGGCACTGTGGAAATATTTCCAGTATTTTATAATGGCCAGATGATATTCTGTGCCAGGAAGGGGAAAAGCAAAGGGCAGTCAGCCCCCGGTGTAATCTCTGGAAGGGGTGTGTAGCTCGGGCTGCTAGGAGACCATCTTGAGTCCTGTGAATGAACACTGCACAGCTGCACTGGAACAGTACTGGAGAGAGGCAAGAGCACCCAGGAGACATGGAAAGGGGAGTATCTTACACAGAAGGATTTATCATGGATTAGATTCATATAATTAGATGTTATGACCTTGAGTTGTTGGCAGCCATAAAGTACCTGGATTAAATTATATGATAAAAATCAAAGACAAAATTAATTCCTCAGAAGCACTACATGTGTAGGTCACAATTTATGTAATTTTGATGAAGGGCTGGTCAATGCCTTTGTTGCATGTCCTCCTAGGAGGTGTTCCATACCTGTACATACATTCTTATAAACCTGTTCCACACCACTGACATGCAGATTCATCCACCCATCACCATTTTCCATCATCCCAGAGCACACATAAAGAAAAGAACCTTATGTAGCATACTGATCTTCACTTGACATTATTATTGTTAATTGTGTATTGAATGTTGTCTTTTGTTCTTGTAGTTTTGTGTTCATATGTTTGTTGTTGTGAATCTACAATAATTAATCATTGCTAGGTTGTTGTATCTTGTCTCTTGTCTGTTCTACCATTCTGTGTTGATTACAGATCCTGACCATCCTTGGTTCAAACTATTTCTTACCTGTCCATCAGGTGGAGCCAGGGGGGGAGTTTCGGGTGCTTAACCTGACACTCATGGTGTAGATATCACAGTTCTATGTGGCAATAAACTGAAAAAATAGTATTTCTTTAATTCTGGAACCAGGAAATCTTTGCTCTGTATCTTTAGCTATTTTTCTCATGTGCCTTATTGAAAATAGATTTTCTGATTCTCCAACCCATGTGGAAACTGAAACTTCTTATGTGGTATCTAGTGTTCATCAACAGGAGTAAGCAGCGCCATCCTCTGCTTGTGGAAAGGATGCTCCAGAAAGAACTTGCTCCTGTGTCCATGTGGCATTCTCAAACTGATCAGAACTCTGATCAGAACTCTTCCAAGTTCATGTAACTTCACTCTACAAAAGTCCATCACTGTGAAAGAATCAACGCTGTGTTTTGTTAATGGTCCTAACCAAGCAGGCTAGATGGCATATCCTCCTCTGTTCTTTAACTGTCCTTGTATTCCTATTTAACTACTGTCCCCTTTGAGTTGAAAGGGAGCTGTAAGGTAGAAATGAAAGTCTAAGCACCCATGAAGTGCTTTGTGGGCTGCATGCAGAGTGAGACAGACTGTTGCGTCTGTGTTTGTGTTACTGTATCTGGTGGGCAGGAGGATGAGCTCATCTAGAGGGTCTCCTGTAGAGGAGTCTGTGAAGACTAAGAGCAGACTCACTCCCAACTGTCCTGGAAAACCCTACCCTCAAACATCTGGGGAGATTACAGGTTTCTTAATCACTGTTTGGTCTAAACTCTCCCCTGGCCCCAAACCCCACACACACTTCACTTCTGCATACTCAGCACACTCAAATTTAAATCACCCTTACAGCTCTGCCATAAAGACATTTCTTGATTCCCTTTTTTTTTATTCAGTGTTCCTGCCCCTAACCCTCTTGAGAAATTGGAAAATAAAACAAATCATCTCCTATTAACTGTCAGAATTTTAATCACGGAATTGTTTTGCCATGTGAAGACAATGTTTAATTTTAGAATTATAATTTATCTGTTTTGTTTAAGACATTTATGTTCCTGTTTTCCCCCATTAGTTTCAGCTTGCCTCTTGCACAATTGCAATTTTTTGATAACAATGATCACTCATTCATTCTCTGCTTAACAGCAGTACTATTTCAATTTATGTGTATCAGGGAGGTCAGAGCCTTTTTATTGAGTTGTTGCAGGGATGGGCAGTTCGTCAGTGTGTCCTGAGTCTGAGGGCATAGTCTGAAGACACTGTAACAGATCAGACAGGTGGTTCTCTGCTAGAGGACTTAAGGAGAAAATTATGTAAATCCTGAAACATTGGTGTACAATAACTTTGAAAACCCATATTGTATAGAAGCTATGTGTCCTGCACACTGATCTGACACTGCATTCCTGCATAAAGTTGTGTTTATGCCAAAGCCAAATCTTTCTGGAGATTAAGTAAGGTCACTTTAAGTAAGGTCATTTTAATAACAGCTCTTTTCAGCAATAAAATAAACTACAAAAGGCAGTTTCCATTGAAACATCTGCAGGCACATTTGCAGAGAAGATTTACAGATCAGATATACAGTCCAGAAACAAGTACAAAGTCATTTTAAAATTAACTATCACATATAGTAATGTTTCTGGCTCTGTAATGCCATCTGCTGTATGTTCATATTAAACACTGTTTAGTTCATGTTGTATCCAGGAGTGTCCATTCCTGAACTTGTGGGAAAATTCCAAAAGCCTACTTTTCTAAGAGGAGCACAGATACGCTGAATTAACATAAACAAGATCTATCAGCAGAGCTGAGTGGTATGTTGGGTCTTTCATATTTTAGTTAAGACTGCACTGAAGGTTTGGTAGTAAAACAATTGCATAGTAGAAGATGGTGACACTTGAAGGTCAGAAGTGGTGTATTTGATCTCTTAAGCAACGTTTCAGATGTTTTTTAGACCTCTGTCGCTTGTTGTCTTTACCCCTCCTCAGGTCGTCTCTGAGCCTGAGCTGCCTACCACCCCATGTGACTGTCTGTTCTGACTCTCGTCCGTGGGACTAGTCCCAGTTCATCATCGCTGTGTTTATGGGGGACAAAATACACCATATAAAATGACACTTCTTGATTATGGTCACTCAGAGGCATGATTGCTCTCACACTGGCTAAGGAGATATATCATCACCAGCACTTACCAGCATAAGCTTTGATCTAAAAAATTGTTTATTTTTCAAATGTTATTCAAACATTTGCAGTCTGCAAAAGAAAGTGCAGGGTAACATCAGGACCTCAGATATAGCTTTAAATAACAATTGCTTTTTAACAGTTCATCTCATATTATACCGCACTTCATGCACGTCAGTGCATGTTGTAAGACCATTAGTAGGTACAAATAATTATATTTCTTACTATTTCCAATAATTTGCTTTGGACTGTGTAAATAAATGCAATACCAAAACACAGTTACAGTATATGAATGGCAGTTGACAGAGACTACAGTCATAGTGTTTAGTGGACTATAATATGTTTTTTTTTTTTTTACTGAGCACATTGAGAAAATGAGCTTTAAGCCAGTAATGTTGCTTTAATTGTGTTAAAAGGAAACTCAAGGTTTGTCATGTATGAAGGCAAACCCTTCTTCTAACCTTCTGAACTGAATTCAATCCCTACTGGCATCCATTCACACAGTGAATTAGACAGTCTAATCTACTAATGCTGCTAATCATTGAGCACATCAAGAACAAAGCCTGGCCCTGAGTGTAAAGCTCTGTCTGTTTTGTGGGTTCAGTCTTGATTTCCTGACCTCGTCAGGAGCCTCTTTCAGCTGAGGCCATGAGTCTATGGCATGAGGGCTGTGCGCTGGTTGCTGGAGAGGGAGTGCTCAAGATGCTTTGAGATACTCAGGTATCTTCCTAGCACATGATCTCTGCCCCTCTCTCTAGCACTTCCTGCCCCTGGGGCCGGACTGGGGAGGATGAAGGCAGATGTGCACAGCCAGTGTCTGGACACAGGCAGGCCCTCCAGCGGCATAGAGCACTCACCATGGCGTGTTGTTTCACAGCAGGATGTGGAATCTGAAGTGGTGTACGAATCTGCCAAAGCTTTATTATGGTTTAATGAGTTATAGGAAAGATCTGAAGTTGCAGTTTAAGAGTCTGAGGGTCAGGGAGGAAGAGGGATTCATATTTTAATTAAAGCATTCCATCACATCCCCTTCACCTTGATTAATATCTCTATTGTGTCAGGTCTTAGGCCAAGACAAGCAGAGCAAGGTACTATTTCTCATACACTGAGACAAACCATAAGAAGCATCTGAAGAAGTCGTTTAGATAAAATATGTTATGCAGACGACATGCTAAGAGTTTAAGGATCTTTAAAAAATATTGACATAGAAATGTTCTGTGTGATATGCTTTTTAACCATTTTCACCTTTCATCTGAAGCTGTACTGTACCTATGTGAGGACCACAAGGTCTGTTGTAATTCTGGCTGATTTGGAGTGCACTCTGTTTTTGTTGCTGCTGGGGTTTCTGCAGTTTTCAATTGGTCTTCAGCAGAAACAGGAATATAGGATTTCAAAGGACAAAATTGCTTAAGCCTCACTTCCCTGTTCCTCAGAATCTGAGAACACACTGTTCTCCCAGTGCTGTTTGTATCCAGTCTTAATAAAAGCCTGGACTGTTGAAGTGTGGGACCCTGGGTGAACTCTGTCTCCTTCAATGGCAGACAGGACAGTTGAGGACAGCACCAGTAAGAGGGTAAGTGTGAGGGAGAGGCCAAGGTTAAGCAGTCCCAAATTTTTCACTGAATTTATTATTCTGAATTAAACACTTATTTTTTTAATTAGTAGTGTGAACACTGCTTCAGTTGGAGATATTCAGATTTGGAGGAATGTGCTACACTGCAGTATTTGAACTACTACAGTATTCATAGAAATCCAAGTGCTCAGTCCCAGAAACTGTAAAAGTGCTTCACAGACCATGGCATCAGCCCTGTTAGATTACCCCGGAGTGTCTCTGTTGTCAAATAGTCTGCAGATCCCCTTTCAAATTGATCAGACAATAACTTCTAGCAAAGACAGGCTCTGACTTTGCTTTGCTGATACCTGCTGTACAGTATGTCTGAAAGTTGCCCAAGTAAATCCCAGTTATGGCTCAGCCTGCAGCTCTCTCCCTAATTCCAGCTAAAATGACAGAACTGCCTGGTTTATGGCAGGTAATCAGAGAGGTGAATGCCCCTGTCCTCCTCAATCTCATTCTTTTACGAGGGGGCTGACCTTGCTTGTGGCATTTTCCTACATGCACAGCTGTGTGCCCAGAGGAGCCTCAGCAGGAGGCCTGGCATCAGAAAGCTGTGTCCTGGGCACTGTTCAACTGCCTTGGCCTTTGGACACATACAGTATATTAAACCACATGTGTAAAGGAGCTGATTGTTGGCTGCTGGGCTGATGATATCTCAAATTACTATCATAAACCAAAACTTGCTTCAATGAAGCTTTGGTAAGTGTGGCAGTGAGCCCTCTGGTTATCTCTCTTCTGATGGGAACTCGGAGTCCTTGTAAGAGCAATTGTCTTGATTCTTTCTAAGAATCTCTGCTCTCTGACCTTTCCAGACATCTGTAAGATTTGTGCATCCATATGCAAATCCCAGCACCCTTTGTGTTTGTACATATGTTGCCCCAGAGCAAGGGATGCGAACTTGTGAGATAAATAGGAAAACAGAAAACCTGTGGAGGTAATAGAGTGGCCCCAAACCAGAGTAAGTAAACCCTAGACCCAGCTGCCTATATTGCTGACTGAGATTATTTACACAAAACTGGATTTATGTGTGAAAAGGACATTTTGTATTAATTGCTGTTAAACATTTATCATGAAATCTGCACATCATGCAGATCTTACTAACTCTATTGTCCTCCCACATTTGCAACCTGTGTTTTTTTTTGCTGTTGGACTGTGTAGGAGTCCTTTAATGAGAAGGTCTCACAGCTTTTGAAATGCAACACTTTTTTTCTCAGTACAGTCTTGTTCCCCTGGAGGTCATACCAGATATTTTCTGAGTGCTGCCACAGGCTCTGCACCGACCATCTGCTGATCTTGCTACATAGAGTCTCAGGGGAAGTCAGATTGGGAGACTTGGCGATACAGCACCTCACTAATCAACAAGCACAAATCCTGTTTGCTTCAATCTGGCAGGTCAAGCAAATTAAAAAATGCTCACGGCTAATATTGATAAAAACTCTTGGAAGCACATTTTGATGGACCATTGTAGATAAGGACAGAAAGGCCAGAAAAATATATGTACAGTGTATACCAGTTAAAGGCCTATTCCGTACTGAAAAGAGAAGAGAGAAAACACAACATTTCGGCTTTGAAAGCTTTTTCTGGAGTGAGAACGACAGGGCAGACAGGAAAGATTAAATAGCACAGAAAAACAAAAGCAAGGAGAGGGGAGGAGGCAGGAGGGGCACAGAGGCCACTCATGAAGTGCAAAGTGGAGAGAGGTGAAGAAAGGTCTGAAGTCAAAACCTGCATGAGAAAGAGAAGATTGTGCGAAAATAAGTCGGTCATTGAGAGAAGGAGGACGGTGTAAACCTAGTTTCAGGATGAGTTTAGTTTCTGTTGTCTTTCTGCTATGGGAGTTGTGAATCCCTTCTTTAAGAACAGAGACAGAGATATCAGTGTGATCATAGACGTCTGAAGTGAAATGAGAAACTATGGGCTTGGAGAAATCTTTAATCTTCACAGCCCTAACATGTTCTCTGAAGCGGTCGCCTAGTCTCCTTCCTGTTTCACCAATGTAGATAGCTGGGCATTTTTTGCAGGAGATACACTACATGAGGTTGCAGGAAGTGCAGGATGTTGTCTGGGTGATCCAGAATTGACCTGAGGGGCTCTGAATGAGCGTGTTGTTAGATATGTATTTGCAGGTGATGCAGCGAGTTCTGTTGCAGGGGAAGGTGCCTGGTGGGGATGATTGCCGAGTGCGGTCACTGTGAACCAGAAGTTTACATAGATTGGTTGGTCGATGGTATGAGATGATTGGGTGGTTAGAAAAAAGGATACTGTTGGAGGGATCGCCCTGTAGAATGGAGTAGTTGTTAATAATGGTCCTGGGGATAGAAGGCATGTTAGAGTGGTAGGGAAGCTCCAAAGGAATGTGGTTGTGAGACCGGGAGTTCCTCATCGAGTTGATGATCCCAGGGCTGTTTTTGCCCCAGGTGAGGGCCCTTTCAATAACATGGGTGGGGTATCCTCTGTTGATGAAAAACAAAATACATTTTGAGTGCTTGGTTCTGGAAATCCATGTCGTCACTGCAGAGTCAATGTAGCCTGCGGAACTGTGAAAAAGGGTCTGGTGTGTTTTTGGTGTGAGTGGGATGAAAACAGCTGTACAGGAGATAGCTGTGTGAATCTGTGGGTTTGTAATAGACTGAGGTTGAGAGTTGTGGATGGTTAACAGATAAATGTATGGCTAGAAACGGAAGAGTGGTGGAAGATATGTTAACTGTATATTTGAGTGACGGGTGAGAGTTAGTGAATTGATGCAGGAAGTGCTCTGGTAATTAGGGCATGTAGCAGCACCGACGCAGCCATCGATGTATTGTTAGTAGAGGTCAGGGACAAAGCCAGTATAGGAAGCAAAGAAGCGTTCTTCTGCCCAGCCAACAAAAATATTGGCATATGAACTAAATATACCAGTTATGGTTTTGGAGTGATTATATGATAAAAAAACACTGTTGTCTGAAACCATAAATGAGGTAAGGTGGAGGAAACTTTTTCATTTTGCTCATTGAGGCTTTTACATTTACTGAAGAACCACAAGTGAAAATTAATCTAAACAGATTTTTGATGGGAATAGTCTCAACACTTAAAAATGGCTGGAATGCTTGAGTGGCTCATAAAACACATACTGATTGCCAAGATAAGATTAGTACTTAATTTTGCAATTTTCATCAATTTCATATATCTAATGTGCAGTAGAGATCATTTGCAAGTGCAAAATAAGTAAATGTTATTCAAATACAACACCACATTTGTTATTCATTTACATGAACCTGTTTTTGCTCTTCATGTGAATGTATTTCAACTCTGTCTTAATTGTTGATTTTAGCCAGTCCTGTCCTTTCTGGTCAACACTGGCAAGCTCCTTCTCAGAAATGTGTTCAGCGTGTCGCATGTTCCATAGTGATTGTGCCCTCAGACACGCAGCAGTGCAGCGTCGGAGAGAGTGAGTTTTATTTTTGGATTAATTGCTCACTTGTGAAGTGACATTTTTTCTAGATTGCTCAAGTGCTGAGAGACTTGCTGTTGCATTAGAAATAACTTGGCCCTGGAATCTGCCAAGAACAGTTTCGCAGCAGTCAAAACATAAAGCGCAAGAATGAAACTGGAGTAAACACTACAGTACTCTTTCTGCTTAATTAAGTAATCAGTGCAGCCAGCAAGCTGAACAATTCTAGTAAACAGATTTGAGTCTGAGTGCTGGAAAGATTTAAAGAGTGTTGAGTTTCCATAGGAAAAAAGAAACAACATGATATGGTTTGAGTTACCTGTGCATTAAATAAATGAGGTAAAAAGATCCTTGCAACAGAGAGATTTTTTTTTCCATTCTGAGAATGGATGGTCCTTAAGGGAAGAAGAGAGATTGTGTTTACCTCACTGATACTAAAGTATTGTACTATTAAGTCATAAATAGAAAAGAAGACATTTTCTTGGCAGTTGTAGAAAACCTTGCAGGTGTCGTGAAGATTTTTTATCTGTAGCTTTAATTTAAGGATAATTCTGGAAGGTAAGGTTGAAGATTGAATTTCCACCTTGAAAATGAAATCTCAAAGGTCTTATCTTTCACCAGCAGGTTCTTTGTGCCCACTACTGAGTTTATTAAGGGCAGATGAAAGGTGACTTATAGCACTGGGCAAAAGTGAATGGCTGCACATCTTTAGGACAGTAATGTCCTCTACAAAGAACCATCTGCCACACAGTTAATCTCTCTGTAAACAGTGCACCATCTAAAACTCACACCTCTGAAGCCCATTGACTTTGTTTAGCTAGGGACAGTAATCTGCATAAAATTATTGTTTTTTCAAGAATCGTTTTATCTTCATAGACCGAAAGTACACATCAAGAAAATTATCTTGTGGTGAAAATGTTTCGTGTGTTTCCTATTGAAAATATTGTTTTGTGTTAAACGCTCTCCACACTGAAAGTTGCCACAGAGCAGACCAGAGGGGTGTGTTGATTTTAAACACAGTGTAGCCACCCAGTTTACACAACTCTTTGCTAACCGCAGAAGCAGCGGGAACAGGAAAAGCAAGTGTAAGCATGGACTGTTTGGGTTTTGCTGGTCTGTAGCGCAGTGGTGTACTGTATACTAAATTCACAGTCACACAAGGCTGGGTTACACTCAAAAAATGAAAATCCCAAGATCCTCAATATCAGGATAAATATTGATCTAGACATCACTGTTCTTGGGGTATTGACTGTGAAAGTCAATACAAGTTAGAGCATGGGCAGCAGTCACATAAGGCTTGGTTCTATGCCATAGAGAAGAAGCAGATGGTTTTCTCTGATGATTGATATTGTACCAGTTCTCTACACTTATCACACTGGAATATTTTTTTAATAATTAATAAATTGGATTTAATATATAATTAGAGATCATAATTATAAATATGTAATAAATATATTAGCCTTTTGGTCTTGAATACCAGTCTATATAAAAGCTCAGGTCCCAGGACAGAACCGTGCTTCGATTATTTTTCGTTAATATAGTGAGTAAACAACCCTTCAGAGCTCAGGCTTACTGAGATTCCCCATTCATACACCAATGATCATGATCACCGTTGATTGCCTGATTCATGTTTAATAGAGCATGAAGGTAACGCTTGCCAGATTTCCACTGAGATACAGAGAGGCAAGGTTCTATTGGGATTGCTGAGAACTCAAGCAGAACAGAGAATATGATGCCTTTAGGACAACAATTGCTCTCTACGTTTGGACATGGCCAAACGTGGAGAGCAATTGTTGTCCTAAAGGCATCATATTCTCTGTTCTGTTTTCCAAGAGCAGGGCTTTCATTGTGCAGATCATTATGTTGATCATCACTAAATGCATGTACAATACCAGGGCTCTGATCTCACTTCCCAGATAAATCAAGCCAGATAAGAGAGAATTGATTCACATAGCTCTTGAGTTTCCAGATTCTTTTGTTTTCCGTTGTCATTCTAATGTCATAGCTGTCTTGTACCCTCTTGATAAACCACTTTAGTTTTGAATTTGGTTGCTGAGTCATAACTTTCTTGTTTTGAGAAAAAAAACATTTTGCAGTTAACAGATAGGAGTTGTACAAACTGTGAAAAATAATGTTTGAAGTGCATCCAAAGTTTCTGGATAAGGCATTTTAGTAGTAAAGCTTTGATGTGAGTTATGAAAAGATTTTGTGCAGGATCAGAGCTTGTCAGATCTTCTTGCATAATTCCAGTTAATTCTGTTCAAGCTTTATTGTCTCCTAGATGAAATTTGTTTTACAGCACAGTCAAACACAACACAATGACAAATAAACATCACCAAAAGGGAAGAGAATACAGTAGTGTTACAGGACATAAGAAAGAAGAGACAAGGTAGTGACTCTGCATTGTTTAAGAGTGTAATTGCAGTGGGAATGAAAGATTTCCTGAGTCTGTTGGTTTTACACCTGGGGCACAGAGGCATCTCCCAGATGGGAGAAGTGTGAATTCGCAATGGAGGGGGTGAGATACAAACTCCCTGATGCTTTTGGCTTTCTAAGTCACCCTGTTTGTAAAGGATACTTAAGTTCATTTGATTATTTTCAATTATTTTGCCACTTATATTCACTAATTTACCCAGCCTATTACAGTTACTGGTACTTATACTGCCAAACCAGCAAGTGAAGCAGTATGTTCAGACACTTTCAATGAATGATTTGTAGAAAAGTGTAAGAATAATTTTATCTACCTTAACGTAGCTGAGTTTCCTAAGAAAGAAGAGTCTCTGTTGGCCTTTTTTATAGATAGTGTCACAACATTTGTCACATTTTAGTTTTTTGTCAATCACCAGTACCAAGTACTTAAAGTTCAGGTGGGTAGCTGCGTCAGCATGCGTAGGCTGCAAAGGAACAAGTAATAGGTTTATTCCATGCTGAAAAAAAAGAAGAAGGAGAACACAACGTTTCGGCCGTGGAGCCTTCTTCAGGTGTGAGAGAGACAGGGCAGTAGGCAAAGGTAAAGTAGCGGGAGAACAAAGGTTGGGAGGGAGGAGGAGTGAGAGGCGGGAGCAGGGGAGAGAAGCGGGCAAGTGGCCCAGGGAGGAAGAGAAGGTATGACGAAGAGATCTAGAAAAAGATTTGGAGGAAGGCATAGTGGGTCGCAGCAGCTGTAGGCGGTAGTAGTTCAGGTGGGTAGCTGCATAAGCATGCGTAGGCTGCAAAGGAACAAGTAATAGGTTTATTCCATGCTGAAAAAAAGAAGAAAGAGAACACAACGTTTCGGCCGTGGAGCCTTCTTCAGATTGAAGTACTCTGAGAGTTTCTGTGCAAGAAACAGTGGTTGTATTGTACTGAAAGCAGAGAAGTCAGTAAATAAAATCCTTACAAAGGTCCCTGGTTGGTCCAGATGTTGATAGACCAGATTTAACAATGTGTGTATTGCATCATCTACTCCCCTCCTTTCCCTGTATGCAAACTGCAGGGGGTCGATGAGGGCTTGTGTGCTCTTTGTGATGTGTTGCTTCACTATTCTCTCAAGTGTTTTCATTGGGAGAGATGAGTGGACAACTGGCCTGTAGCTGTTAAGGAACAAGTAATAGGTTTATTCCATGCTGAAAAAAAGAAGAAAGAGAACACAACGTTTCGGCCGTGGAGCCTTCTTTGCAGCCTACGCATGCTGACACAGCTACCCACCTGAACTACTGTAGCTGTTAAGGCCACTAGACTTTACAGTTTTAGGAATAGGAATAATTATGGATTTCTTCCACAGAGAGGGAATGATCTGTAAGTTTAAGGACATCTGGAAGAGAAAACTAAAAATATTGCAGAGCTGATCTACACAAGATTGTAGGACCATACCACACACATTATCATTACAATGTTATAACTATCACAAAATAGAGGAATAATGATGCAGGAGGGACTCCTGTTATGTTTTGGTTTTAAGATTGTAGAAGATTTAGATGAGCTTCGGTGGGTATTTGATAGCAGAAATTCAGGGTTGTGGGGGAGCCTATCCCAGCAAACAAAGGGGCACAAGGCAGCTACACCCTGGACTCGACCCAGTGCATCGAAATGCAGACACACACATTCTCACCAGGACCAATTTCGCCAGAAGCTAATTAACCTACTAGTATGTTTGTTTTTTTTAACTGTGAGAGCACCCAGAGGAAAAACATTGCGAACATTCAGAGAACTTACAAACTCCACAAAGTCAACACCCAGGAGCTGAACCCAGATCCCCAGCAATGCAAGGTAGCAATATTAACCGCTCCTCCACTCATGTTAGAAACCATTGAACCTGAATATTATATTTTTTCCAGTATTATTTATGTCTGGAAACAACACAGCTAAAGTGGTTTAAAGCTACACATTATGTTTGATTCCTAGTATGAATGGGCTCTGAAACATATGCAGGAGAGTTTCACAATGTACAGCACAGAGGTGTGATTTCTGATGCCAGTGTTTTCCGATGGGAGACAGATTAGTCAATCAGTTACATGGAGGGTCTGCAGTGCTGCAGTTCATGCAGGTCTCTCTGTGTTATTCTGTCTCTATCAGTAAGGCCTTTCAGGCGTGTTCTGTTAGTGCAGTCCGTAAAGCAAAACAATGTTTCAGAGAAAGAGAACTCGTGCTCTCAGAGCAATCATTGCATTTCAAATTGTACTATTTATATAGTCACTGATGTAAACATTTACACATTACTGTTTTCCAGAACTATCCCACATCCAAGTACAACCAGTGCTCTTTTGTTGTCCAGAGATGTTTCCTGTTCCAAACTGTGCTTCACCTTTTCCACTTGCTCTGTTGATCATGTATGATTCAGATACATGTCTTTTGCTTAGATACTTAGAGCACCAATAACGTTACAAATATTTTTGATGTTCTGGGACTCTTCGCAGATGTTTAGATTATCTGAAAGTGGTAACAAGGGGGGGCTAGGAATGCATGAGTATGTGTGAGGAGGATATTCATGATCCATCAAAACTGAATTGGTTTCTCACCGGTTAGGGTGAGGTTTGAGATTTAAATTTTAATTAACTGATAAGGATTGCTTTTAGGTTCCAAATATGCTGACAATGAGTAGGAGACGCCCCCAAAAACTGTGCTTTCTCCCTTTCTGCATGCTTTTTCTAGAGAGTAGTGCAGTCCAGTTTGTGTGGTGTGCTGTAAATATTCTCTGTCTTCAGGTTAAAGATTCCTTAATTGTCTCTAAGATGAAAGCTCCCCTTGCTTTCAGCTTAAATAAAGCTCCCTTCCAAATAAAATCAGAGCGCTGCCTGAACGTCTTGTAAAACAGTCTGATATGGAGCAATCTGCAGCATGTGCCCTATAATAACCTATGGAAGAGCAGAATGGTTAAAGTAGCTGAACATGGAAACTACAGAATACAAAAAATTAGTGAGAGGAACTTGGGGTTTTGAGCCCTAAACTCTAAACTTACACAGGTGTCCCTCGTTCCAGCCACTGTGGGAGATAAGCTATCCACTACAATGCTCTAAAATCCATATTGAAATTCCAATAGCTCATCTCCATATATGCATCTTAAAGTAATACTTTTATTTAATTTGGGTTACTAACTTCGAAGTAATGCTTTGCAATGCCATTCAGGCCTTACAGGTTATAAGTAATGGCAGCGCTTACCTTTGGAAGAGGCCTGTGCCAGGAGGTCAGTCCTGTACCTCCTGTGCCAGCTGAGAGGGTCCTACAGCCACTGCCTGCCTGTCTGAATCAGTCAGGCAGGAAACAGGCTTGTCACACAATAGCGCAGGCAGTGAAGAAAGTCCGGAAATGAAGATTAATCTCTCTTATCTGACAGAATGAGGTCTACTGCTGAATTCCACATGGGTATCAATCACTTCAAAATTGCATCTGAGTTTTCAACATGCGGATGATTACAAGGAGTGTATTTTTGATTCTACAATTACTCTCTCATCTGAAATGTTTATTTCAAACTTACCATTTTTTAATACATAAATAATACTGATAAGAAACAGGGTTTTTTAAAAACAATATGCAATGTTTTTTTATTACTCTAAGTCATACTGGATGCACCTGTTCTTTAAATAAGCACATTATTTTTAAAACATCCAAGTGCTGTCTGTTCTAGTACACACAGTACATCCTACCGCTGGATTAATGGGAAATGGCTTTTTAAAGGATCTTTGTTTTCAGAATATTATAATGTGCTTCAGCAGACACAGGCTTTTATCTAAATATATTTCACATATGTGCCACAAGTACAGAGTGTATAGTCCTGCAGCAGAAGACCAATTAATAAAGTTTAAAATGAGCTTGAATGAGATGTTCTTCATGATGAAGTGTAAAAGAATGAATAAGGACATAAGAATGTTAATGAACAAAAAGGCTGGTTTTTAATCCACAATTTAGAATATTTCTTTCTAATGTAGAAATATTTGCTTACCTCCATTAAAGAGAAACAATGGGAACAGGCAGTATAAGAAGTATAATCTGTAAACCTTTTTATTATTAAAAGGTTTATGTTTATGATATTTTATTACTTTTAAATTATTTTATATTGTTATTTTATTATGTTTAAGTTATTGTTTAAAGTTTAATGCAATTATTTTCTTTTTCCTTTTGCTCTGCTCACTCCCTTGTGTTGTTAGGCTGAAGTCTTTTTGAAGCAGAGGATGCACTTTGCTGTTGCTGTTTTCCGCTGAGTTTTGTAACACCAGCACAATACTAATCTACTGGCACAACTGAGCCAAACAGAGACTCTGCGGGGGCAGGCTGGGTATTTTAAAATTACATTACCTGAGCTGTGGGGCATGACATCACATTTCTTGGGAAGAGCACCAATTCACAGGAAACACGCTTGACTGGAAAAATAAATGTGTACTCTTGCTTTATATTTTTTTAATTATTTTACAGCACTCCTTATGCCCTTTACTGATAAAACAAAAATGAATTATAACATAGATCTTTTAATTTCAGTTTTTAATTTTTTACTTTTTATTTTGGGTTCACTTACTGCTGACAAAGCAGCAGGTGGACTGTGGTTCTGGAGTTTAATGGGTTCATTCAGAATCAAACCCCATGGAGCCTACACTGTAGTAGTACCAGCAGGTATGCCAGGGTGACCGGAGAAACTCAGGAATTTTCCATGTGGAGTTAGTGGCACAGAGATCTATTCTCAGTGCCAGCAAAGTGCACTTTGAAAAAAGTTTGACTCCTCTGTGTTGTATCTGGACAATTTACAGAGGGGTCAGAGTGTTCTCAAGTTTGTATTTTTCAGTGCTTTGTGTGGGAGATGGCATGCTGTATGATCCATTCCTGCTCCGCTGGCCACAGTCTGTGAACTGTTGGCCATTCAGTGTCCAGTTGAAGAAAAGCTGTGGCTTTGAACTGTGGATCAAAACTGGGACTTTCTGCCACAGAGCAACTCCTCTCCATCAGTCCTGCTGTGTCCAGCTGTGTTTAGCAACATATCTGGGGTGCTGAAGTCTGCTAAGGCCTAGCGGGTGTGAGGAATGAGGTTGACATTTCTTCACAAGCTCACAAGAATACACAAAAACCCACAATCATATTCCTTTTAAGCATTCTTGTTCTCTTTAGATCTCAGCTGGTGTAGAAACGGAAGATGGTAACAATTATTCTGAACAGTTTATGCAACATTTGTAGTTTTCCATTCATTAGTTTATGTGCAGAAAATAGAACAAATCTGTTTTTTATGAGATATCACAGTTTAATATCTTTACGGTAGCCTGTTTCCTGAGAGTAACAGAAACCACATAATGTCTTTTTTCAGTAACCTGGCAATTAGAATGAATAATAGGAGTCATAAAATTGCTCTTTTTAAATGTTTGAACATTTAACAGATGGTATGCAATACAATTTATCAGATTATACTGGAAAACACGTGTTCAATCAATGTCCTGATCCTTTCCTGACTCCATACTCTAGCATGAGAGCTAGGTAGCTGTCTGTTGTAGAGATGTTCTTTGACAACATGCTTTTGTTATGCATAAAATTGCATAAGAAATGGACTGATTGCTGGTCATCTGTCATAGCAGTCACTTTACATGTTTGATAATACAGCACCTCTAAAGTGGGAAGACCACAAAGATCTTAACCTTGAACTTTTCTCCTGTGTTTTTTTTCTTTTCTGAGCTGCAGCCCAACAGCAACTTCCTTTGAAGTCAAATTAACTTTTTTATTTTAACATCGGTTTTATTTCTCATATCAATTGAAGTTAACTGACATGCCCTCTAGGATTTATAAGGCTGCCTTATCTCTTGAAGGAGTGAGCCAGTAGGATGCCTTGGGAGGTGAGAGTGCTGAGCCATAATGTGTAAACAATCAGCAAACACACACATCTTTGTTGTTCCAAAACAACAGTGACACCCACATATTGATGATTACTATCAGGTCTCAACATAGAATTTTGGCTGATAGAAAAACTGTCTTTTATAAAGTCTCCACTTGTGTTTTGACATGGCTGAATTCAGCAGAAATGTGCCAAGATGTAATGCAGAACAGATGATTTAAAACCAGTTTTAACAGAAGACAACATTTTCTTTTATACTCCTTTATTTCTGTAAAACAATTTACTGCATCCATTTCTGGTTCAACCCATTAATCATCTTTTGACCACCAGGAAAAGAAGAAATACCATTATGTTTTAAAAATTCAAAGGGTAATGTGTAATGGGTGTTGGGATTTTAAAAACATTAATTAATTCCAAGAAATCAGTGAATTAATTTAAACTGTTAGTTTGCAATGCTTTAGAAGTGCACTGTAAGAAGGCAGTAGGTTCAGACTACATGGAGATCTTTGTCTGAACCACATTCCCCAGAATGCTGTGGGAATGAGCGCCTTCTTACAGAAGAGCTATTGGCAACTGCATGGGACACCTTTACTTGCAGTACCACAGCATTGCCTCTTATGACTACAAGCCTGTTTATTCCTTAAAACCACTAATCTTCCTAGAAGGATTATTTTCCAACAGACTGTGAAATGGATTAAAAAGCAAGACATGACTGTGCTTTATAGTGTACCTAGTATTGATAACCGGCAACAGTTACAGACAGAATACTTAAGCTGGTATGAACCAACAATTAATTCTGGGAAAACGTCCATTATTGTAATAGATATGGTAAAACCTGGACTTTATTGAACTTTATTGTAGCACACTACTAGCAAATTACTGTATGGTGTGGGCTTGTATTCATCCTTAAGTGTGACTGTTTAATCACATTTCCATTGGTCACAATTGTAGCACAATTGTCAGTTTCTTCGAATTCCAGCTGGACCTCCTTCACTCTGCTGATGTTGCCCTCTGTAATGACAATTGTCCAGCTGCAGACCAGATGCTCAAAAAGTAAATTACACATTCATCACAGAGGGGAAAATATTGTGCACTGGACCTCCACTTCAAAAGACTGTGACAATAATGGCAAATTGTGACATCTGAGTCACAAACATCACCAGCAGGGCAGTTTTATAGGCATCAGAGGCATTGAGGGAAGGACAAAGGTCACTTTTAAATGTAACTTCTATTGGAATAATTAACTTTTATTTTACCCTTCTAGAAATCTTTGCAATTAGTCCACACATTAAAAAACAGTTTGCAAATGTGAAGAGGCCCATCTAGCTCATTTGATTTAAATAAGCTAGATGAAGTAATTTAAAAAACGAAAGAAGATGGTTGGTAAAGTTTCTGAGGATCTGAAGAAACATGTATTCACCACCATCTGTCTTAAACTTGAACACATTCAGGTTTTCTTTTAACAAACCAGATTGTTTTAGAGAGCATATTAATTTAGGTCAACAATGTTTTATCAGAAGTTATTACATTAATGACTTGTTTACTTTAATGATTTGTTTTTCTGTTTGAGTCTATCCATGGCTGGGCTGGTATAGGTATTGTATGTTTTTCTTGTCTTGTGTGGGACAAGCCTGCATCAGTCTCTGGTTTTCCTCTTCAGAATGGAAATGCTGAGGCAAAAGGCCAGCAGCTTGTAGTAACATTCAATTGAAACAGTTGTTCTTAGATTAGGAGCATGTAGCCAGGAAAAGTAACACATAAATCCTTTACATTTGTTTTGGCTGCAGGAGAGATTTTAAAAAGCTGAGACCTGGGTTTTAGCTGAAAAGCACGTCACTGTGGGCACATTCTCTACACTGGTGGGAACAAGATGTCCCATGGCTCTGCTGAACGTCCACCTTTCGCCTTTTTCTGACTACTAAGTGAATCACAAAGACTTCACGGGTTTTCATTTGCTTGTAACACTTATTTTCCTTTACTTGGTAGCACTAATTGAACATAATGCAAAATCTCTCTTGTTGTGTAATTAACAACAATTACAGCTAGGTTGCAGTAGGTGCTGAGGTTATTTTTTTAGATCCACTCTGAAGCACATACTGTACTGTATAGGGAGACGCCAGATGAACTGTAGTAATAGAAAGGATCTGTTAGCTCCCTGCAGAGATATTGGATTTCAATTTGAAATGCAAGACGTGTTGTTCTACAGCTCAATCTGTCACAGGCAATGAGGAATTAAAAATAACGGAGGCATTAACCACTATTGATGGAGAAAGAATCTGAGTAGGTGAGTGACAGAATTCCACTGCATTAGCCAAATCTGGATACTGAGAACATTCAGTACAGAATTTTTGGCAGAAGGCATTGCATTTATCTGAGCTATTACTGCGTGTGTCTATTAATGTGGGAGAGAGAGTATATACATGCTTGGCCAGATTCC